AGGGAGGGAGGAAGGGAGGGAGGGAGGGAGGAAGGGAGGGAGGGAGGAAGGGAGGGAGAGAGGGAGATACGGCGAGTATAATTCGGTTCTTCTCGCAGTTTATTGTAAGGAGCTAAGTGAGGCAATTGTCCCAGCACAGATTTCTTAGCGGTTTTCTTCATTATTGTTCGGTTGATGAATATGTGTACCAGTCAACAAATGACAACATGTACACTGCACGAGAAAAATCCTGGTGTCACTCAATCGATAAGTTTCCATAGAGACCATCAATGTCGACTGTGGTGGATTCCGTCTATATAGAACTATAATACTTTCCGACAACTCTACATACAATTTCCATAGGCAGAATAAAATGAGCGCAAAATCAGCAAATTCACCAATGGAGTCCAAGACAGACTAATCGGTTTAAGAGATTGAAATAGTGACACCTAACGTTATAAACCAATCGGTGAACACGGTCAAACAAAGGGGCTGCAAGCAGATGGACTGTGTGCGATTTTCGTCATTTTTTCACAGTCTCTTAGTGCATTTGTACTGAGGGTAGTTCAATTCAGTTCCGTGCATCGCTCTTGGTTGCTGTCTTTTGGTTGCCCATTCGGATGGACAATAGGAGGAAAACAGGAAGGTTGAGATTAGGACTGAAGAGAAGTTCAGTGGACTAATGATGTTTACGACACTCAGCCGTATCACCCAGTGTCTCTAACCATCGGTTACGATCATGCCGAAGAACCCCAGTTAGAGAGCCTAACGGGACCTGTGTGACCCAGTACCCTGGCTAGGGTTTTCATACCTTTATGCCAGATCTAAGATTGGCCAACCTTGGACATTGCTCAACCACTACCTGCCTCAACGAACATCACTCGTCGTGGCAACCTATCTGGTGACATGCGTAACACATGCCCGAAGTAACGTAATCTATGGAGGTCGACCATTTGCTCCAGTGGACGACCGCATTTACCTAAAACTCTGTGCCTAACCTCAGTATTGCTCGTCCGGCTGGTATTTACCCAAAACTCTGCCCCTTCCTCAGCATTGGCTCATCCGGCTACCCCACCAGATTCGTCCCAAAACTCTGTCCCTAACCTCAGCAGTGCTCATCCGGCTACCCCACCAGATTCGTGCAACGCGTAGACAGCGGTGTTCAAACACCGACAGTCTGTCTTTATCCTGTTCCCTTAGTGGCCAAGGCGGTGTTCGAACACCGACAGTCTATCTTTATCCTGTTTTCTTAATGGCCAAGTTTCTGCTTCATATAGCAGAACTGGCTGAACTGCCGCAACATACACTCGACCCTTAACGACGGCGCAACAGATGTCTGAAGTTGGTAAATGCCAACCGAGGTTTCTGTATGCGAGCTGACACCTCATCTGTGATACATCCACCGGATGAGAAGTAGCTGCCCAAGTTAAAAAACTTATCCACTTGCTTTATTACTTCCCCAGTTAGGGTTAGGCTGGGTGCTGAACCAGTATTGAAGTAACATTTTACAATTTGAAAGTGAAAAACGCATACCAAACCTGTTTACATTAGTACTCAAACTATCCAGAAAGGCTAGTAACTTACCTGAATTTTCACTTAGTAGCACAATATTGTCTGCATATTCTAGATCAGACAGCTTGCCACCTGGGTGTAAATCGATGTCACTATTCTCGTACGAGGATAGGGCTATTTCCATTATCAGATCTATAACAAAGTTAAATAGAAATGGAGAGAGAGACGGCAACCCTGTCGAACACCACTTTCCGTGGTGAACTCGGGTTAAAAAGTGCCGTAAGCTCGGAGTCCGCTTCGACTATGAGTATAGAGGGATTGTAATATTGGAAAATAAACTTCTCGGGCACACATTTCAGAGAAAGGCAGCGTCAGCATTTAGAGCGGTCAACTGAGTCGAAAGCCGCTTTCAGATCGAGAAAGACAGAGGTGGTGAGTCAACGAGGGTAGCAGTCAAATATAAACTGTTGTCGGTGAGTTGGAGCGGGACGAAGGACAGGAACTATCCGTACCTTTTGCCGATCAAATTGTTTTGTCCGGGTACGAAATCAAGATGTCCCCGAATCAGTTTAATTTATCCGGTCGTCAAATCCAGATATCCGTATCGAACGTTGACCCCTGACCCAAGTCCACGGGATGTTCTCTAGTGACAAATACCATTCAGTACGAATGTGATAGAAGGCAGTACAAAGAGAGTCCTGGTTAGCGACCGAATGAAGAATGGGGCTCATCCGACCAGACGCGCAGACAAAGCGGCGGGAAGTGCCTCGCGAGACAATGTTGACTGACACCCGAAACGGGCGAATCGACAATTACAGCCCGACAGCAGTCCGCAGCTAACGGGAAAGATACCCACCGAATGCCACAACGTCGGAGCTGTCGATCAACGCATCTCGCGCCGCGATCGGGTCAAACCAGTCGGAATGGCACGCGGAAGAAGAGGCAACGTACGTGCCATGTGCGGACCAAAACCAACAAGGAATGACTCACAGAAAGCGGCATGAATCATCCCGCCGCGCGGTTGAGAATTGATTGTATAAAATCGAACGCATACACCGTTTGTTTTTGAAATGGATCAATAGACGTTTTTCCCAGCCAGCTCGCCTTCTCGTTACACGAATATTTCGCAGTCTCACGGACAAGCCCGGACTGAGAAGGACGTTCGGTGGCGGACGGTGGATGGAAAACGGTGTTTGCCGCTTTCTACAGTCCCATAACTCAGAAAAATTCAAGAGATCTCAATAACCTGCTTTGTGTGTGCGTGTGTACGCGTCTGCGCGTGCATGCATACACCCCCTCCCCCTCCCCGGAACAATTGCATCGTGCCATGTTCCGCTGGCATCAATGGATCATACTTGGTTCGTGTAACGGTTGATGTTATCAACATTTATATTCGATCAACGTGATGCTGCCTTGCAGTTCGCACTTGGTTGTGCAAAGANGAAATAAGAAACGCCGAGTGACGCTGGGAAGATCTTTCGTACCAAACTCCCCAGGATCATGATTATGATCATGTCTGGAGCCGAGTTATCTTTTCCAAGAAGTCCGCCGAAGTAAATTAAAATAAATTAGCAAGCTTGCGGATTACTATCGTTTTCTTATCCAGCTTGAGGAATATGGTAAAAGATTATCATGTTGACATTTGTGCTTGTGAAGAGGAGATCGGAAGTGTACTTTGTTGTATCCCGTATAAGTCACTAAGTACGCAAGCAGTGAATCAAGTAGTTATTCTATTTCCAGTATTCTATTTTCAAACGTAGCCGGTCCGTAGGCCGGTGCCAAAAAATGCGTCAATACGCAGGCAGGCGCCAACTGGCGCAAGTGTTACCAAAAGGAGTATGCCATCACGTTGGGCAATCAACGAACCAATCAATTACGGACAGGTCAATACTGACCGCTGATTCGCTGAGGCGGATCGACCTCATAACAGAGTAAGTCCGCCTCACGTGCGTACGTGCGTATGAGAGCAGGCTGCAACGGTCAATCACGTGATGAGCGGTAAACGTTACACTCAACTGCAGGCTATAACACACTTCTGGGAAATCGTTTCCAGTCATTCTTTCCGGCTAGAGTGAGAATCCGGACGCTCGGTTGGCGGAAGCCTTTACCGTCCTGTGCAACCTGACACGACATGACCTGACCTGACTTCATAATTAAAAAAAAAACACTAAAAGTCGGCCCTGTCATCGAGTTGGCTGAGGTGAGACGCGTCTAAACGGCAGCACCCGATAAAGAATCATCGTAATGATTCTTCGAGACTTGTTCATCTCAAATTCACTCCCCAAGCTGCAATTGAGATTTCCCATACATAATTCACATCGAAGGTTTAAGTATAAGAATGACCAGACAGAAGATTACGGGATACGCACACATGACCAACGGCAAGGAGGACCGTGAAATCGGTCGTGAGCTGCTGAGAAATTCTTGTCCAATAATTCATATACTACTGATTACAAAGAAACTCTCTTGATGCTTCTTCAGTAGCAATCTAGGCGCCGATTTGGTCCAACAAATCCCCACTCATGTAATTGATCATTAAACACAGAAAGTAGACATAAAATGAGCAGCAGATTCATGTTCCACGGTTGGTATCAGCTGTTGTGCCCTACAACTGACTGATTCGTTTGTCATACATGCCTGCGGACAAATTTATTGAGCAGTCGATTGATTGACCGATTGATTGACTGTTTGAATGCCAGCTTGACGGCATTCGCATGTAGTGCGACGTGTGAACCGGGGTCGGCCTGCCTGCTTTCCTACGAGCTGATCGTTCCTGCTTGTTTCCCGGTTTGTGAACCGGCTACATATTTGCTGTTTACAATAAACTGATTGCTTAATTCGTTGTGTGCTCATCTTACCTACTAAATTTGAAACAGAACACCAGTCAGTTCTCAAATCAAGTGAGCAAATATTACTTCTCATCCGGTCTCTGAAAGTGGAGACCACGCACACGATGTGTGGGATTGGATTCTGTTTTCGGAGGAATCAAAATAAATCGATCAGAAAGGGTTGAAAGTTCAGCCCCCCCCCTCACCCCTAAGTGGCATATCGTGTGTTCCGTAACACTGAGACGTTCTCGAACACCTCGGGGCTCAATGTAATCCGAAAGAATTACCAGATTGATCTTAAAATAAATTTGTTAAAATATATCTTGTATCTTGTCTGTCAGTTAGTTACTTGCGAGTTACTTGTATTTTTTGTCACCGTTCTCTGACCTCGTTTTCCCAAGGACAGACAAGCATTCTTTGTTCAGTCCACAGACTTGTTCCTATCATAGACCAGTCAGGGAAGGAAGACTGTTCTGACTTAAATGATACACTTTGTTTATCACAGACTACACTCGAACAATAAAGCAAACTTTTGTCCGTGCAATCCCCATTCCAGTCAGAAGCAATACACTATCACTATGGAATGTCCCGTCAATTCAAAGATACACATTTGGGCGAGAAACTGCAAACCATTGCACACCAGTTGTACATTCTTGTGCGACACGTGAGTTGTTGTTGTTGTTCGTTCTGGTGTCTGGTGACTAGAAACTGATATCTCAGATTCTCTGTTTCACATATGTACACACATTTATAGTCATTCAGGTGACATGTTGATTTGCAGTCGGACTGACGGGTGGTGGTGGTGGCTCGGTGATAACGTCACCAAATCATCACCCCGGGAGTGTGTGTGTGTGTGTTCGCATCCCACCACCACCACCACCACCGTCTGACTTTCCCCATTTCGGTGTGTTGAATGGTAGCCCCCTTTGATTGGCCGCTTCCCCGCTTTCCTAAACATTGTATCTTTGTATATTCAAATAATAATGAAGTAAAATGAAAAAAGTAAATTAAATGAAACAGAGGGAAGAAACCGGTGACCATTGCGCACAAATACAGGCTACTTTCATACAACCTCTGCTCAGGTTGAAATGTTTTCTACCGAATTTGAACCCTGGTGGACAGTGATAAGAGGCGCAGACCGCGATACTTGTAGTAAGCTCGCAAGAAATGGATTGTGCTCTATCGCGATTAATGAATAGGAAAAAGAACCAACTGTCTGATCAGCTCTGCCTGGTGACCTGGTCCTGGGTTCGAGCTCCATTAGGATGAAATCGAACCAGGTTATGATAGCTATTCAGAGCTTCTCAACCGTTCAGTACACTCACTTCATTCTTTGTTTACAGGCCCAAATTCATCATATGAACAAATTTAACTCAAAAGAGTGCCAGTAAGATTAGTTGATAGGAATGAAGGCATCAAGGCATCAAGGCCCAATGCAAGATATGGAACGATGCAGCTTATACAAGTAGTTAAGAGTGGGAATTGTATTGATGATTTTGCTTGAATTCTGTTATTGCGCTCAAGTCCGGAACGGCATACGTTTTTCCCTGTACTAGCTAAGTTGGGCAACATATGAATCAGCAGCAGGCATTCAATAATATTGATTTTAATCGACGATCTTTCGGATTTATTCTCCCTAGAAATCATTCGACTCATTCAGTGACCAAACACAGTTTCAGTTGGGTTTAAACTTAGCCCAAAGCCACCGGATCGTCTGTGATTGGATCTTCATAACCCCGTGTATGTAAATCATGCCTCAGCTCACTCACATCGTTGCTGGACAGTGTTAACGACCGAGATTTGTTTTCGTACACCCTGTTCAGTAATAGGCAATGAGTTTTTTTCTTTCTATATGCTATATTATTCCGCTGTATCACAAGCCGATCTCGATCATGAGATTTCCTGAGCGTGTTTATGGGTAACTGGATAAACTGAAAAGTATACGTGAACGTGAAGTCTAATGGATGATCAGTGAAAACCAATAACCTATATCAGTTGTAGTAATTGTAGTATTTGTAGTATACACTAACCACGAAACACGAATCACGAATTAAAAATCATGAACTAGCAACTTAAGCATTGGATCACACTGGTACTTGCATGACAGTATCCCACCGAACCGAGACGCAAGGAAACGCGCACAGGTGTAGTAGTTCGTTTAGTGAAAGAAATTAGGGGTCTTAAATAATATGTACAAAACAAGCTCATTTATCATCCAGGCCTCTGCCAATCGCGTTTTGGTATTTCTGGCGTTGTTTGGCTTCTGTCTGGGCCGCACGGTTTCTGATTGGCTGGTACAATCAACCTATGGTATGTAGTTCAGAAGCTGTGACACGTACGCGACGAGGAAGCTTGATTCATTACAGTGGTCCTGTAACTGTAACTGTAACGTGTCGCTCCGTGGTATGCGTCATTTTGTAGGCCAGGGTCATTCCATTAATCTAGACACATATGACTGTGATGGATATGTGCGTTATCTATTGACCTATTCAAACTATGAAGATCTCCCCTTTCAAGCCGACTGATCAGTTCTGAACTATTCTCGCATTTGGACAGTGGGTCTGAACTGTTCGCACTGTCTGCACGCCTATGATACATAATCAATGAGTTGTACTGTTATTGTATCATTATCAATTTTCTTCTCTCTTATTCTGAACAATTGTAAACCGCACACAGCTGTTCATCGATTGTCCAAGCTGCATTCTTCCAAACGAGGCCCGAATCTCCGCGATCGATGATCAGTCCGGCTGTGGCACTTGTGCAACCGAGCGACCGGGACTCAACACAACTCTACGATCGATCTCTGTGAGCAATGCAGAATCGACCACAACTTGTGCGCTGGTTTTCTTCTCCGACCGTACTGCCCAGATTGAAGTATGTTTTATTGATCGTCATTTTCCCGTCCACTTACTATGTACTTACCTTATGGACTATCAGATTCTTCTTCTTCCTGGACAGTCACATGCAAATTAGGCAAATCGATATTTGTTTTGCTCGGTGTAACGCAACTAGTTAGTTAGCGCCAAAAAAAACAACCCCCTCCCCTCAGTGCTATCGGCACGGCCTCGTAGCTCAGCCAGCTCAGGCAATGCGAGTGTAGGTAGTGCTATTTTGACAATCCAAACTAATCCGTTCTACCCCTGTCGAAATCATGTGAAACTGCCTGGACATCTGAATGCAGACTGGAAGAAAATCGATTTATATTCGAATGTTTTTCAACCAGTATTTTTTGAAATTTGTGAAAAAAAAATTACGGCTGAGAATCCAATTTTCAGTTCATCATTATGGTATACAAATCACTATTAGGACATATCGGTCGCGAATACGGCCGAATTCATGGTAAAAGTATGTGTGTGTGTGAGAGAGAGAGAGAGTAAATGCTTATTTCGCGATGATCAATTTGTTACTCACTAGGTAGCCTCTATGCCTAGCTAACCGTCAGTAGAATATCAGTCAGAGGAAACAGGAGCCTGGTGAAATGTGCACCACAAGATGGTCAATCTATCCAATTGTCCTAGCCTAATCCGATTTGTGCCTCCAAATCATCACCCGCTAATTTTCCGCCAAAAAACGGAAGCCGTTGGGCAGTTCTGATGAACGGTTTTTATAGTATTCGGAATCGGAATCGGAATCAACTAGAGCGCGAACTGGGATTCAGACCGAAAAGTCAGGTAGAAAGAACCAAAACAAGCTGTGGATACAGTTAGTTCTATTCAGAAAATCGTGCCATTACAGACCACAAGCAACAAATAATCATTGGTCAATTCCGCAGTGTTCAATCGACAAAAATGTGGTTTATTTGCTTGCCCTCTAGCAGTCAGCCAATCCGGTTCGTGCCAATCGAGACCACAGGATTGGTTAACCAGTTTCTTGATTGGTTACCTGGACGCTGTGCCATGGTGCATGCGTACTCGTTACACGATCACCACAGGTGTCCAACGAATAAAATGGGTTGTGTGATGGGTTCCCTACCAGTAACACAGACGTGCTTACGGATGAATGAATGAATGAATGGATGGATGGATGAACTAATCTGATGTGCCGCACTTCTTTAAAGTCACCACGGGTTTTTCTCGATAAATCCAGAATGATTTGCAACGGTTGCTGAATTCCTATTGATGCGTTTGAATGTGGACAGGATTACCCAATACAGACAAGCCATGGATAATTTAGAACTAATCAGTGCGTATCAATGACCAATCACATATTGATGTACTAGATTCCCAGATGAAACTATTAAAGAAAAGTCGGTAACTTACCTAACCAAATCACCGATAGTGTAGTTGAACCCATACGGTGGGTTTAGTCAAGGGAATGACTTGCTTGCTCGACAGACACGTAAACGAACGGAATTACCGCGTAGTTAGATCAAACAATAGTCGCTACCTAGACCATCTAGAGTGACGCTTCCTTCCGGTTGAACGGTCACGTATACCGTGCGAGTGAGCTCACAGTTCGATATTCCAATTGTTTGTGTCCTGCACCACTGATGCCCGCTTATAGTTTGAAGTAAACAGGACTGAGCAAGCAGACAAACACGACGGACAGATTTCGTCGCGTTTTTTGGAAATGATATGGTGGAAAGTGTGTGTGTGTGTTGCAACAGGGAATTATCATTGTCAGATTCAAAGTCAAACTTTATTATGGGCGTTTTCACAAAGCTGAAGCTTATCATGCCTCATAGGATTTTTACAGAATCTTTTGAATAACTTCACGAAGAAAAAATAACAATGATATCAGTGTGTGTGATCACTCACGAATGTTGAAATTTTAAATGTTCCAATGCTTTATCCAGTGGTGACCACATGTGAGTGTGGTTCATACGCCTCCTTATGGTTGGTTTGGAATCAGGATTTTTGACCTAACAATGGTCCACCAACCCACCACCAGCCCTGAATGTCGGCTTTTCGTCCTCTCAATTTGGTGGAGGAAAACACACCTCTGCCACGAGAAGGCGGTGAGTCGGGCTTTCTCAGCAGAGGCTATTCGAGACACTTGGTCGCAAGGGAAGGGTGACCAGCCACAACCCTAGACACCCACCCCCGACCATACTGAGGCATTTGAAGGATAACTGTATTTCCATAGGTATCCCTTATGCACATGCAGCCTCGTTCCTAAAAATTGTCTATAACAATCTGATACACTCGGTGATTGGGCAAAACGAACCGGGAGAGGGACAGGGAGGGGGAACACATTCATATACCGGAACGCGGAGAAACTTTCCTTGCCAGGCGAGAATCAAAGAAGACAATGCTTGCTTCCGGTTAAAAGTCATCGCGCTGATGACATACCACAGTCAATACAGGGTGATTATTGATTAATCGAGACTGTGAAAATTCTGTTCCATTCAGGTGTTGTTGGTGGCATTTGACTCACCTATTGATTTTATTTATTCAAAATCAAAGCCAAATTTTTATCATAGGCGACTAAGCAAAGCTAAAGCCCCATAGGATTTTTACAGAATCTTTCGTATAACTTGACGAAGAGAAAATAGTGGTAATAATATGCATGATCACTCACGGATGTCGAAATTTTGTGTTCCAATACTTTATCAAGTTGCTATTTAAATAGTTCAACCGTAGGAGCATACACTACATCAGATGGAAGAGGATGCCATCCACACCGCACACTCTGACTGCAAACGAGTGATGTCGGCAATCAAGGTGGCTGTTCTGGTTATTCACCTTTAGTGAATGTCCCGCGAGGTGCTCATTATGAGATAAAGTCAGCAGAGGACGACAAGGGTGGTTGGGTTGATGCAGCATGTGATATGCCAATATTAGATCCCTTCGAAGCCGATGGTGTTCGGATGAGTAAAGTCCCAATGTTTGCAGTCTTTCGGAGCAGATACAGACCTTTTACCAATTTTGTTGCCAGCCTTTGCGGACGTTCTAGAGCCTTTTTGTCGCGATTTAACCATGGATTCCATACTTGAATGGCGTACTCCCTGTGTGGCCGAACGAACGCTGATAACAAGCGTGGGAACAGTGCTCTTTCGAACGGCCGGAAAACACGTCTGGGTAGTCCAACTTGCTTTAGAGCCATAGATGATGCTCCGGCACAGTGCGTGGAACATCCTCCTATACCATAACTGCCAAATCCCTTTCATCAGTGGCATGCGGTAGTATTTGATTCCACAGAACATAGGAGAAACGAGTTTTATGCCGCATGGAAATAACTCTGCATTCGGAAGCTTTGAACTCGATGTCGCTGGCAAATGATATGGCGAAAAGTGTATGTGTTGCAACAGGGAATTCGTATTGTTTTGGGACGTGTGTGTTGCAGTGGCCAAGCGTCCGCTCACCGCACCTTAAATGGTCTGTAGTTGATACCTCCGGTGGAGAACATCGAGCGGCTGACAACAAGTATTATGCAAACAAGGCCTGAATAAGAAGGATACACAGCGATTAGACTATTCACTCTCGGGTCGGTAGTCAAAAGGATTCGCTAAGTGATGGATTGGGTGCTTGTTTGTTTAACGTCAACGATTGAGAAGAATAAACGATGCAATGGGTCCTGTCAAAGACAGAACAGTCGGCACAAAGTATGGCGGAGCTGACGGTTCGCTCATTCATAATAAATAGCGACGTCTTGCAGGCCGGGTGGAGCGCTTCAAAGCACAGTTTACGTGGCCTCCACCGTCGGCTTCTCACACAGCTATTCCGGCACACGCCCCATGGTCTGTCACAACAGACTCACCTTCTGAGACGGAAATCTGTGAGGAGATTCATGCCTTCGAACGTCACAAAGCACCGGACTCCGATGACCTTCCCCCTGCTCTATTTAAAGATGGTGGAATAAAGCTTGTTAGACAAATACAAATTCTGTTCTCTAGGGTGTGGAAAACTGAGCAAGTCCCCTCATGAACAGTGATTGGATGACATGAAACTTTACCTGGTCATGCATAGATTGCGGTCACGGAAGTGTGGTAATCCAGACTTTCGTGACCGCAATCCATGCACAACCAGGTACAGTTTTATGTCAGCCAATCACTGTTCACGAAGCTCGACCAATGGTACACCGCGTGGACATGATATCCGAGTAAGTACATATGATGCGTCGGGGTAAACGGTTACGTGATTAGAGGACGATCAACCAATCATATGGACCATCACATCCTATAAAACATGATCTAATTCCATCAATAAAGATAAGCGTTTGCTCCTATCAGTTCCTCGTGTATTTAATTTGTGTCCGCAGTTCGGGTTGGAGCTAACCCAGTTCTGAGCAGTACATTGCGGGTTATCGTATTTCTACATTCATTACTATTCAGATTACCACAAGAAGTGTGGATTACAACACTACATCGATCAAATCTTCACCCTCCGACAGCTGCTAGAGCGCCTTCATGCCTACCAAAGATCAACGATTATTGTATTCTTAGACATCCAAGCGGCCTTAGACTCTATCGATAGGATCGCGCTATGTAACTGTTTGTTGACGAATGAAGTACCCGAGAAGTGAGTCCATCCTCAAAGAATTGTATCGTCATACCTCGGTTCGGGCTAAGGCCTATGGCCAGCTTTCGCCACCCTTTGCCGTCTCCAATGGAGTTCGACAAGGCCGCCCCATATCCCCATTTCTTTTCAAATACGCCATAGAAGATGCTNCGACGATCATTGTATTCTTAGACATCCGTGCGGCCTTCGAATCTATCGATAGGACCGCACTATGGAACTGTTTGCTGAGGAATGGAGTACC